TGCTCCTTATCAACATATTTCTTCTGGATTGATTTTTTTTTAATATATTTGCTCTCTTAATGGCTTCCATTGTTTCTTCCATCATTTGTATCTTCATCTGTAGCTGTCCAAATAACTCTACATTAAAATATTTCTTCTGGTTCTATCTGAGGATTCATTGGGTCTGCTTTTTTAGAAGGGTTGAGTTTTTTTGTTTTTATTTTCCATAATGACTGAGACAGACTGCTGTTTTCTTAACATTATGTGAGTCTTTTCTTAGTATATATTAGGTTGTTGTAACTATATAATGACCCAGAGTATGGCAATATTTTGTGCAAGACCTGTATATTTGTGCTCCCTTCTTGGCCTGAGGCCTGCCGGACCGAGAGTCTGACAGCAGTGTTTAACCCAAAGTACTTGAATGGTTGAAAAGGAAAATCTGTTGCCTTCCAGAAACCATGGCTCAGCAAATCTGGCCTGGCTTCTGCTTGAGCTAAAGGAATCCCATATGATGTAGCAGCAGTGTTTGATCCAAAATACATGAACTCAATTTCTTTTACTTTTTATGATGCTGTAGACTGACTCTACATTTATTCTCTTATACAGCAACATCTATGAATATTTTTATGTTGCATTGTCTTGCTTATTTGAAAGAAGTTCTCAAGAATATATATTCAGAAAAGAATTCCCAACTATTTTTCTAACTTTGATGTGCCTATGAAATTATTGAATATACCTTGGCTTAGGTTAAGCACACATTAGTGTTTAAATACTTTAAAGAAGTCCTTTTCAGCTGCTATGCTCACTACAAAAAAGTCAGAAAGCTCGACAATGACTAGGGATGATTGAAGTAGAATTGATGTTTTTGAGGTGTGGTGCTGGAGAAGAGTATTGAATATACCATGGACTGCTAGGAGAACAAACAGGTTCTTCCTAGAGAGGGTGAGACCAGGCCGCTTCTTGGAGGCAAGGATTCTGAAGAATCGTCTGACATACTTTGGACAGGTTGCAAGGTGGAACCAGTTCTTGGACAGGGACATCATGCTTGGGAGTGTGGAGGCACAGCACAAGAGAGGAAGATCCTCGATGAGATGGATTGATTCAGTGACTAGGGTAATGGGGTTAGGTGTGTCAGAAACAATAAGATTGGCACAAGATAGAGCAGGGTTTAGGGTTGCTGTAGATAGGGTCAGCACAACAGTAACAACAACATGCCCAGTACAATACCTTGCTTGACTGTTATTTCCTTACACATTGACTGTGGTACTGAGGAAAATATAATCCTTTATAAACTCCATTTTTTTCTCATCTCTCATGATATTGTCTTATGGTTCAATTGTGAGGAGGTTTGCTTTCTTTATTGTGTGGTGTAATTCATACTGAAGACTATCATTTTAGTGTTCATCAATAAATCCTTCAAATTTTCTTAGTTTTCAGCAAGCAATGTTCTATCACCTGCGTCATGCAGATTGTTGATGAATCTTTCTCCAATCCTGATGCTTCACTCTTCTTCATGTATTTCAGCTTCTTGGATCCGATGGAATGTTGTTAGGTGCTTTTGAGTCAACTACAACCCATAGTGACCCAATATAAATGGTTCTGAACCTTGCCTTAACCTGAGCCAATCTCACTGTCTCCAACTCCACAGCCATAGCCACTGTGTAGATCCATGACATTCAGGGTCTTCTCTTGAACTGATAATCTACCTTTAAATCATGGTGTCTTTCTCCAAAGATTAGCCACTCCTGACAACATGTTCAAAGTATGTGAGACAGAGTTTCACCGTCCTTGCCTCCAAAGAACACCCTGATTTTCCTTTCTCCAGGACAGATCTTTTTTTCCACTCTGAGTAGTCCACAGGATATTGAACAGTTTTCTCCACAACCCGAAGGCATCAATTCTTCTTTTGTCATTTCCAGTCACTCTCCAGCTTTCAGTTGCATAGCAAGTATTTGAGAAGATCATGGCTTGGATGAGGCATGCCTTGGTCTTTAGATTGATAAAGTTGCCCCTTAGCACTCTGGAGAGGTTCTTGACAGCAGATCTTCCCAGTAAAAGTCATGTTTTGGTTTCCTGCTCCTGATGCCAATGGTGTTGATTATGGATCCAAATAAGACAAAATTGTTAACAACTGCAATCTTTTCTCCAACTATGATGGAATAGATATGGTAAAAGATAAAATGGTGTACCTGCCATTCCTAATATTAAATCACACAGTGTCATCTTGTTTTATATGAATAGCTAGTGCTTAGTTTATGTACAGGTTCCTTATGGGCATGATTAAGTATTCTGGAATTCTTGTTCACAATATCTAACTAGTAATTGAAAGTACTAAACCATGAGAAATGAGATCTATTTTCCACACTACACAAATCTAGCAGTATTAAATTTTATCTCAATTTCTAAGTTATTAAATTTGTAATCTGTGATACAACTAGCTAAACATTGTTTCAAAAATCGGTATTCTCCACGAAATTACATAATTTACTTTTTTTAAAAATCAGTATTCTCAACTTTTAAAATAAATGTTAAAGAAATGATATATTAAACATAGGCAATCCAGGTGGATTGACATGGTTACTGCTGCAATGGACTCTAGTTGTCAGGAAGCGTGAAGATGGCATAGAATAGGACATGGTTCAGATCTGTTATTCATAGGGTCAATATAGGTCATATTTTACTTGACAGAACCTAACAACAACAACAACAACAGAATTTGTTGTTTTTCATAGATAACAAAGAATATAAATAAAATAGGTATGCAATTCAGAAAGTTAGAAAAATGACCAAAAAAAGGATGAAAACTGTAAGTAAAATTTATATTGTTAGGTGCTATAGTGTTAACTACAACTCATAGTAACCTTATATACAACAGAATGAAACCTGGCCAGGTCCGACACCTTTCTCATAATCTCTGCTGTGCTCCAGATCACTGTTACCATCTTTGAGTCGATCCGGAGCTGCCTTAGAAGTTTGCTGCTGTGTACTGTTGAGTTGGTATAAAACAAAAAATATATGAATGTATGAATAATTAATATAATGTATAAACTTTCACTTAAATAAAATGATAGTATTTTTTAAAATGTGGCCTGAAAGCTCTGGAAGCCCAGTGAGGTAGGTCCACCCTGTCCTTCAGGGCTGCTAGGAGTTGAAATCAACTGCACAGCAAAGGTCTTTGTTTTTGGTGTACAATAAGTGAGTCTTTGTACCAGTGCATTTGATTTTGGTAAAAATTACAAATATTTGGATTTTCTTACTTTGATTGAAACTTTAAATACATTGTGTATTTTTATTCTTTTTCCTCTCATTTTTATTGTTCTTTGGGTGAAAGTTATGTTGTTGTTGTTGTTATGTGCCATCGAGTCGTTTGCGACTCATAGCGATCCTATGTACAACAGCCCTAAACCCTGCTCTATCCTGTGCCAATTGCATGGCCTCTGACATGTTTATAAGAAACATTAAAGCAGGTTATACACATGAATTTCACCTGATGGTAAGCATAGAATTCAGATCGATTACATCTGTGGAAGGAACCACTGGAGAAGCTCAATATCAGCTGTGAAAACTAGGCCGGGGACTGATTGTGGAACAGACCACCAACTACTCATATGCAAGTTCAAGCTGAAGCTGAGGAAAATTAAACCAAACCCACAGGAGCCAAAGTATGACTTTGATTTCGTCCCACCTGAATTTCAGAATCATCTCAGGAACAGGTTTGCGGCCTTAAACACTAATGAGCGAAGACCAGATGAGTTGTGGGATGATGTTAAATGGATCATCCAGGAAGAGTGCAAATGGTCATTACAAAGACAGAAGAGGAAGGAAAGACCAAAATGGATGTCAGAAGAAACTCTGAAGATTGCACTGGAGCGTAGGGAGGCCAAAGCACAAGGAAGAATTCAAGATATTAAAGAGCTGAAAAGAAGATTTCAAAAGGCAGCACGGAATGACAAAGCAAAATATTACAATGAAATGTGTGAGGAGCTAAAGTCGGAAAACCAAAAGGGCTGAACTCGTTCAGCATTTAAGCTCAAGGAACTGAAGAACAAATTCAAACCTAGAGTTGCTATAATAAAGGATGCTTTAGGCAGAATATTAAATGATCCAGGAAGTATTAAAAGAAGATGGAAAGAATATACTGAGTCATTATATCGAAAGGAATTGGCAGATGCAGAAGAATTTAATGAAATAACATTTGAGCAAGAGCCTATGGTGATGAAGGAAGAAGTTCAAGCTGCTTTGAAGGAAATAGCAAAAAATAAGGGCCCAGGAATAGATGGTATACCAATTGACATATTTCAGCTAACAGATGCTGCCCTGGATGTGCTCACCAAGTTGTGCCAAGAAATCTGGAGAACAATCTCTTGGCCAACTGCCTGGAAGAGATTTATATTTGTTCCCATTCCAAAGAAGGGTGACCCAACTGAGTGTGGAAACTACAGAACAATATCATTGATTTCACATGCAGCAAGATTCTACGGAAGATTATCCAAAAACGACTGGAACAGCACATCAATAGAGAACTGCCAGCAGTCCAGGCTGGGTTTAGACGGGGTCATGGTACTAGGGATATTGTAGCTGATGTTAGATGGATCTTAGCTGAAAGCAGGGAATACCAGAAGAATGTCTATCTGTTTCATTGGCTATGCAAAGGCGTTTGACTGTGTGGATCATAACAAACTGTGGCTGACTCTGAGAAGAATGGGAATCCCAGAACACTTGATCGTGCTAATGTGAAACCTATCCTTGGACCAAGAAGCAGTCGTTAGAACAGAGAAAGGTAACACCGCATGGTTCAAATTGGGAAAGGAAAGGTTATAGGAGAAATTACTTTTCCATTCAACAATTCAGACACATTTTGTTTGTCTTATGGCTTTGAGCAGAAGAGCTACAATTGGAAGGGCTGAGAGCTTTATAAAACTGGCCTCAAACACAGAAAGTTCAAGGGTAAATTGCCTGCAAGTACATCATAGAAGCTGCCCTGACCATATTCTGCTGCTAATCTGGATTATAACCGTTAGACTTCCCACAACCTGTGTGGTCTGCGAGTTATCACATCGTATTTTAGACCCAGCAAACCAGTATGATTGTTGTGAAATGAGTAGCAAGAAGTATGGGAGCATGGGGGACATGTCTGACCTCATGGGAGTTGGTTTTTTGCTGTTGATACTGTTGAAGAGGATAGTTTCCCTTTGTGAAGCTCGTAAAGGTAACATATGGCCATTCCCACATGACCCTTGTTCTTTTTTACACTGTACATGGAAATATTTTACTATTTAAACCACTTTTACCACAGCCAATGAGAAGGAACAGAAAGTGATTGCTGAGCATGAAATAAGTTTTGATACACTTGACAGCCCACAGAAGCTTAAGAATTTCTCAACCTTCAGACAAGCTCTGCACAAAGCAAATATCTAATCAACCCACTGTCAGTCAAGCATTCATAGCCACCTCCCATTGATTTCAAGGCTATTAGTCTTTATGAGAAGAGATCATACATTTTTGTTCTAAGGAGTGGCCAACGATTTTAACTGCTGATCTTTCAGCTCCAAAACCTGGAATCCACAGCCACAGTGTTTGTTATGACTCTTAGTGACCCTTCATTGAGCTTTGAAGTTGTAAATCTTTATGAGAGAACTGTACTTATTTTTCTCTTCATGGGAACAACTGGTGGTCTCAAACCTTTTGGTTGGTAGGGCTCACAATTAGTCTGGAAAAAAGTTCAGGTCACCACCTGGTGGTCAGGTCTTAAACTGCAGTTTGATTTCTTTTATACTATTTTTCTTTTTGATCAAAGGCCCACTGATAAGTATTTATTTCTTTCATACTTCCAGTTGGATGCAAACTGGTTCCAAGTTTTATTATAGAAAGAACTGAATCAGTACCTGTAGCTTAGTTGTCTTTAGATATTCTAAGAGTCAGGAAAAAGAATTTATAGTGTTACCTCATAACAATCCTCTAAAATTTTCTGTGAAAATAATCTATAGTGGGACAAACAGGAAACATAGGCTTTGCTACCAAACAGATTTATGCTCAGTGCTCTTAGTTCTGCTTTTTTTAGGCTTAATTTGTGTTGGTTTTGTTTTATTAGTAGTAAAATGTAACACATTTTTAACATTATTTTTAACATTTTTTCTTAATATTTTGTGATATTTTTTCACTAATGTATCAAAAGAGAATGACAAGTATATAGATGATTTATTAAAGAGAATAATCTCAAATGATAAATTTAAAGTGTTTGACAAAATCCTGCACCACTCCTTATTTAAAACTCTCAGGGAATTAGGAATTGAGGGAAATCCTTATTTAAGTCATCTAGAAAAATCTGCATACATCAAATGCCACACACAATGGAAAAATACTAAAAGCTTTACCTCTAAGTTTAAGAACAAGGGAAGGATTTTTGCATTACCACTTCTACTTAAACATTGTACTATAGGTTCTAGTTATGATGTAAGACAAAAAGAAAGAAAAGGCATCCAGTTTGGGCCACAAGAAATAAAGTCATTTTTATTTGTTGACAACATATTGTCTGTGTTTGCTGTTCTCTTAGAAAATATAAGACAATATACAAAAAAGTTTATAGCACTAATAAGTAAATTTAGTAAAGTTCCAGTATAAAGGAGCACTCTACAAAGATCAGTTTTATTCCTGGTTGAGTCTCAAAACAAGAATGCTGAGTGAAATAAACCAGACTGAAAAGAAAGTATGCTTTGTGATCCATTAATATAAAACTAGATAATACACAAATAAATCTACAATGACAGGAAATTGGTTTCTTGAGAATGAAAGAGGAAGGTTGGAAAAGATCTGAGAAATTTCAAAGAGATGCAAAGAAACTTTTGGGGCAAAGCATACATTTGTTATCTTATTGTAACAATGATTTCAGAAATATATACATGTGTCATATCTCATAAAAGGCTAGTTTTAAATATGTGAAGTCCTCTGGTGGTTTAGTGGTAAGGACGTGTGCTTCCAACCAACAACCCAAAGACACACAATTCAAATCCATGAGATGGGTAATCTCCTATCCTGTGATTAACTGCTTCTGAAAACTTTCTGGAAAGTCAGCTATGAATTATAGATACTAATTTATTGACATCATATTTTGACTGAAACTTTTTAACAAAACATTGTTTAAATACAATGAGAATCTAGAAAACATACTTCAATAAAGTTATAAAAAATCCCAGATTCAGTTAACATTTTTTTACTAAAATATTTAGTTGTCTTCTGGAATGTCCCAATACACAACATGCCCCTTCTCTAGATTCTCATTGTATTTAAACAATCTTCTGTAAAAAAGTTTGTGTCAAGATATAATGTCAGTACAATAGTATTCACAAACAAAATCTTAAAAACTGGTATCAAGACGGCTGTATCAAAAATCACTTGAGAGTTTTCCACAAAATATAGCTTTATGAACTTGGTCTTAGAAATTAAGATTCATGAAGTTAACAGTGGAATCTTGAAAGTTGCCTTTAAAAATCAGTCAAGTCTTAATTCAGTTCTCAAATAGCCAAATTGCAGAACCTCTAATATTGGCTATTGTGGGACTATCACTAATAGATACTTATTAATATCTTTATTAATTTCAGGGCCTGGGGCAGATATGAGTCCTAATTCATGCATCAATCTTATGATGCAATTTGTCCACTGGAGAGGAAATTATTTATTTACAGTTTGGCAATAAAGTCTGGCAGATGGAAAACCAGCAAATGTTCTTTATGCTAGATCTCCACTTAGCATATAAGAATAGAATTTGTTTTCTGACTCACATAAATCAGTCACTCCATCTTAAAGAAATTAAAATTGTGGAGAATTAAATGTTTATTTCAAACTATTTGAGAGGACTCAGTAAATTTTCATTACTGTTCCATCTGTTTAGGATTCATATTTTTCACTTGTGAAACTCAGGAATATTTTACAATTGCATAATATAGTATGATGTTCCCCTCTGAGACCATTATTAAAAAGAGAATGTGAAAAAAAAAGAGATAATGTTCCTTGGGTGGGTGTGTGCCGCTGAATCAGAACTGACCCATCGCTGACCCTACCATGGGTTTTCAGAAGCAGTAAATCTCATGGAAGGAGACTGTCATCTTTCTCATACAGAGCACCTGGTAGATTAGAACCATGTGCCTTTTAGGTTGACAGCATAGTCCTTATTGATACTATCTTACAAATCGGGGTGGGGGGATATATAGTTCATGTAGTAAAAGACCATTTATTAATTTTAATGATAAATACCTTGTTGTTGTTATGTGCCATTGAGTCCACTGTGATTCACAGTGAATGTATGTACAATAGCTATGAACCCTGCCCTATCCTGAGCCAATCTCACTGTCTTCGACATAGCTACCCTACTACACCACTTACTATGTCAATTCATCTTATTCAGGATCTCCCTCTCCTGCATTGCCCCTCTACCATTCCAAGCAAGATGTCCTTCTCCAAGGATTGGCCTCTCCTATCAACATGACCAAAGCATGTGACAAGGAGCTTCAAAATCTTTCCCTCCAAGGAACAACTTGGACAGACCTGTTTGTTCTCTTGGCAGTCCATGGTATGTTCAACACTCTTCTCCAGAACCACAACTCAAAGGCATCGATTCTTCTGTCATCCTTCATCATTGTCCAGTTCCCCAATGCATAGCAAGTAATTGCAAAGACATGGCCTGGATCAGGCACACATTAGTCTCTAGACTGGCATTGTTGTTCTTTATCATTTTGAGGAGTTCCCTGGCAGCAGATTTTCCTAGTACAATTTGTCTTTTGATTTCCTGATTGCTGGTGCCCATAGTGTTGATTGTGGAATGGAGCAAGTGGAAATTATTAGCAATTTCAATCTCTTCTCCATCTATGATGGTGCTGATGATTGGCCCAGTAGTGAGAATCTGTTTTCTCAATGTTGAGCTTCAATCCATGTTGAAGACTGCAGTCGATCTTCTGGAGCAAACACGTCAGCTCCTCTTGGTTTTGGCAAGCAAGGTTGTGTCATCTGCATAATGCAAGTTGTTGATGAGTCCTCCTCCAATCTTGATGCCTTAAAAAATATTGGTTGGAACCTAGTAAATGCCCAGCACTGTTCTACCTGTTTGGACATAGTGCTGAAAAACACAGAATTAGTCACAAATGATAGAATTACATAACTGCTTATTGTTTCATCTAATTTAAGCCCTAACTAGTTTTCTGACATGCCAGTGAATTATAAGGTAGTCCACAGTGGATCTATGAGAGTATGTCACTGTTATTATGGGCTTGTTGAATTAGAAGTGCACGTGACTGTGACTTACAAGTGACTCATTAGTGACAGTCAAGCAGATTTTTAGAGGTGGTAAATCCCTGGGGTGTAGATTGCCCATCTTAAATCCACAGAGCAGCTCGTGGATTTGAACCACGAGTGTCTTCAGGTTGCCAGTGCAACTAAATGGTCAAGATATTAGTTCTAGAGATGCCTTGGGATGATCTACTAAAGAATTTTCGGATATTGTACTAAGAACAAACTGACATTAGAGGTTATGATAATGTTCTTCACTTGTACAAGTCCCCTCATGACTAACACGTTTTATAAATGAGGCCCAGATAAGAAGACTTTTGGGGCTGAGTTCAGGGATCATTCATTCCACTTCAGTCTTTTGTCCACAAGGGGGTGCAGCTTCCTAACACAAACACATTTCCTGTGTTATTCTCGATTTGGATTTGACATTTCTGACATTAACATTTCTTCACATTATGAATCAAAAGCATCCTTTAAGTGGCATTCTAAAGATGAACACTTCTCCAGGTTTAGTGGTTGTGGTACTCTTAATGCTTGGTAAGTAAATGGTGCATAAAATTGGCGTTCTTGCTTCTATTATGTCTGTAAGACTTAATAATTGTTTCAAAGAGCATTACTTTCAAGGCTTTTACACACTCTTTTCTCCCTCAGGAGGAACCAGTGGAGATTCAGTGGACCAGACTGAAGGCCAAGTAACCCTTTCAGAGAGGACTTCCCTGACTATGAACTGCACTTACACAGCCTCCGGGTATCCAACTCTTTACTGGTATGTCCAGTATCCCAACGAAGGTCTCCAGCTCCTCCTGAAAGCTGCCAAGGCCAATGAGAAAGGAAACGGCAAAGGTTTTGAAGCCATTTACAATAAAGAAGCATCTTCCTTCCACTTGACGAAAGCCTCAGTGCGAGAGTCAGACTCGGCTGTGTACTACTGTGCTCAGAGTGACACAGTGACTGGAACTGCAGGGGGAGCTGTGCGCAAACTAGGAGCAGCACGAGAGAGACCTAGCTGCTCAGTGTCCAACTTTGTGATTTACTCTAGCCTGAAGACTCTGTTGTGTTTGGTCCTCAGGCACTGTGGCTGATGCAAAGATCAAAGGAGAAACAAAAGAGCAAGAAGTGACCATAACCAATTGCCTTTTAGTAAATCTGAAAACAGAGTTGACATTAATTGTTCCTCAATCACAGTAAAAATAACTGACATGTAAAACCATATCATTAGTGATGTGATCTCTGTGCTTTTACTTGCAGACACACTCCAACTTCTTGATCTCATAGAGGGAAGAAAACCATGAAAGTGATTCATCATATGGGCATGAGGGAAGAGGGTGATATGAAAGGAAGAATAATTGTCCCTACATTGCACTACAAACATGTTGATGGTCTTTGTAAAATAGACGAGATGGTACATAATTAATATCGGCACATTTGAAGTACTCTTGATGATTGCAGAACATTTTGAAAATTGGAGTGTAGAAGATATGTGTTTTTTAGCTCTCCTTTGGCTGTGACAGCTGGAGTAACTGAAAAAGGACATTGGCTTTCAAAGGCCAATGGCTACTAAAATAATTTTGTTTTTCTGGTTGGTCTTTCTCTGTGAGATTTTTCTCTCTTATTTTTTAAAATGCCATTTTTCTAGATTTTTATGTGTTTGCTAAGATAATACATTTTCTTTTTTATTAGTTCTATATTCTTGGTTTAAGTGTAATCAATTTTACTAAATTTCATTTAAATCATTACTTTAAAATGTTATCTTCTTTACAAGGAGGAATGTGGCATCAGGATTGGTGGAAGATTCATCAACATCCTGTGTTATGCAGATGACACAACCCTGCTTGCTGAAACTGAAAAGGACCTGAAGTGTTTGCTGCAGAGGGTCCAGGACTGCAGTCTTCAATATGGATTGAAGCTCAACATCAAGAAAACAAAGATTCTCACCACTGGGCCAACTGGCAGCATCAGGATGGATGGTGA